GCAACACGACCCATTCTCAAGTTCTCAGTTCGTAGACTATCTACGTCACTGATCGTGTCAAGCTTTGGGTCAATGTGGTGAAAATCTAATGACTAGTTGAAAACATTTAAAAAGTACCATCAAATTGTTATCATAATAAGGTACAATTGTTATCATAATAAAGAAGCTACGACTGGTAGTTATATAAACAATATTTGAATATTCCCATAATAATTATTAAAATCGTTCATTTATCTCCTTAAGACGCAGATGACGACGAGCTCGACGCACACTATCACTAATGTGGTCAATATTTCAGCAAAAGGATCGAGGAATGCAGCTAGAGAATAGAGATGTGCCCACCACGGCTCCAATCACTTCTGAGGTTAAAGTCACAGCACTCCCCAACTCAAATCAAAAATTTCCGTAGTAGTCGCAATCAAATAAAAGCATTATATTTTCTGTAGACTGTATTGAGTAACATAATTTTGCCATTCCGAGCAGGATCACTGAAGCTACGATACCAGGTTTTGCCAGTACAAAACTGTAACTCAGAGCAATCATGGCTGTGATTGTAGATTGCTCTTGCAGGGTCAAGATTTTTACACGACTCCATAGAAAATACCCTAGTGGTCGGCCTAAAAGATTGGTTGCACCAGTTACTGCCGCTAGAATCAGAAAATCGTTACCTTGCACCTTGCACCACTTCATCGCAATTTTCAGTATCGTGAACAAGATCTTTCTTGTAGCTTCTCATCAACCACGGAACAAGAATAATGCATCCAAATCCAGAGCACATGCAGCATGCTGGAGAAAAGAAATAGACTTGCTTTGGGATAACTAGAATTCGGGATATTTTGTGGCATCTTGTCGACGAGTCCGTCAGTTTCGGTTGGAACAATATAAATCTCTACCACAGACTCGTTATTGGTTATCAGTATCTCCTTCTTCTACTTCATCGGGCTTTTCATTGAGAAATAAGTGAAGAATGATGATTGGAGGAACAAAAAGTGGGATAGAAGTCAGCAGAACGAAGACTCTCCAGTTCACGATGTCTAGAATCATCCATACTAGTAACGACACCCAAGTTCCTCCAACTGCGAAACCAAGTGTTGAAAGAAAACAGCTTTGAGTATGAACTTCTTTAGAAGAAACGAGCTTGGCGAGGGATATCCCGATTGTACAAAAGTTCAATCCAACGCAAATACCAACACAAATTAAAGCTCTAGAGAGGAGAAGAGTGTAATAGTTGGGAACTACCGCTCATAAGATAGCAAAGCCAATGGACAGATAGAGTGACAAAAGCAGTGTGAATCTTGCTCCTAATTTTTGTGAAATCGGAACTGAAATCATAGTTGCGATTGCCCAAAACAGAAACATAATCACAGCTAGGATTCCCTCTTGAAAGTCCGCGGATAGACCAAGTTCACATGATACTGTCTGTGTGATGACTCCATGGAGAAAAGCCTCATCACCATCACCAATGTTTATCAGCACTGCCAGCGAGGCTAGCAGGTAATCCTGTTTAGTCCATAAGTGGGACCTTGAGAAATCACAAGCGGAGGAGGAAAATGATTCCATGGCTATATCCTTTACGTCGGACATTATCACAAGATGCTTCTTTCCTAAACAATATTTATGAGTGAAAAAGCATCAGCTGCTTGAACCGGTTTATTAAGGATAATATGGCCGTTGTGGAACGGTTGTTACGAATTTTTTCACAGACTATCCTACTCTTTCCCTAACTATAAAGCAAACAAACGAATAGAAAGGACAATTAATATAATCATCTTTAACAACATTTACATGAATAATCAATATAACTACCTTATCGGACCTTATTTGGACGGACATTACTTGCAGAACGCTGGAGGACCTAACGTTCATCTTAATGTCCGTTTAAATAATGTCCGTTCAATTAATGTCTGTCCAAGTTAAAGTCCGTTGAAATTTTTTCAAAAATGTTTCCATTTCGAACTTTTTGTCCAAAATATGACAACTTTATTGTGCCGTAATTTCAGACTCCTTTCAGACCAAGGAGAACCTTTCCGTCGTTAACTTAAGTTAACGACGGAATGGTTCTCCTTGGAGTTGGTCTGCTGGAGGCACAGAAAACTCTACTAGTATATGATGTTTTCAAGGGTCACTTGGCGTAAAAATTCAACGAAATTATGGCACTCAACAACATAGTTCATGAGCTAGTCCCCGCCAACATGACAAACTTGTTCCAGGCTCTAGATATTACGGTAAATCGTGTTGCCAAGGACATTGTCCGACGTTGTTATAGTTCATATTACTGAGGGGAGGTAATGAAACAGAGCTAGGAAAGCTCCACGTGATGTTAAGGTTAACCTAAATTTGTCTAAGATAAAACCACTTCACGCCGAATGGCTTGTAAAAGTTAACACTGAAATGCAGGACCGGTGTAGTTTGATATAAAAAAGGTTTCCATAAAGCTAGAAATCACTGATGCTTGTTTAAGCATGGACTATTTCATGCACAAAAACCCATTTAATGAAGATGATATTTGATATTAGACACTGATCATGTACACATATTTTAACATTTTAACTGCTTAAAAATGGATTTGAAAATCATTTGCTGAAATTTAAAAAACGTCAAAAAAACGTCAAAAAAAATTCGGATTTTTGATGGTTTTGAATGCCTTCGAGCGTTCATATTAATGTCCGTTCATAATTATGTCCGTTCATGTAATGTCCGTCTAAATAAGGTCCGATAAGGTAAGTCAAAGTGGTAGAGCAACATCATGTAGTGGACATCTTGAGAAATTAGTAACTCATTACTCATTACTCACAGAAGCATCCTGTGATAATGTCCGACGTAAAGGATCAATCTCCTCAGCGCCAGTTAGAATTTCTTGATAATGTTTTCATAGATGCCACTCTTATTTATGGTCTGGCAGCTACTTTATCGGACCTTATTTGAACGGAAATTAGTTGAACGCTGGAGGTGCTAGCGTTCATTTTAATGTCCGTTCAAATAAAGTCCGTCCATTTAAAGTCCGTCCAAGTTAAATTCCGTTAAGATTTTTTCCAAACTTATTCCACTGCGAACTCATGTTTAGGATATGACAACTCTTTAATTTCAGTCAATTGTAATTTCTATCATCGGATTCGGACTAAACTATATCATTGGATCAATGAAAAACGAGTTATTATACAATTTAGATATTTATATTCTAAGTATCACATTATGGCATGATCACTTTCTTGATCTTTGGCTTCCTCGTTCACTTCTTCGGAGTTATTATTTACCTCCGCACATCTTGTAAAAGTTTGCACTGAAATGCAGGTCAAATAATTCAAAAAGCAGGTATGTATACTGATATGATGCTTTAAGCATGAAATATTTAATGCACGATAACCCATTTGAGGAAGATGACCTGTGATATGAATCATCAAATCTGGTCATATTTCGTATCTGTTGCTTTTACACAACTTTCATAATCATAGACACTGATCTACAGATATTTTGACATTTTTTACTGCTTAACGACTGCCTTTCTTGCTCAGTTTAAAAAAATAGAATATACAAATTATCTGCTTAAATTTTTTAAACGCAAAAAAAAGATGACAAAATTTGGATTTTTGGTCCATTTAAATGTCCGTTCATAATTATGTCCGGCCAAATAAGGTCCGATAGGGTATGATGTCTTATTGTCTACATTTTTTTTCTAAAGTTTGCTAATATAAGCAATATAATGAGGTCTGATCGTCATCTTCTTACAGCGTTCGACATGTCTGTGTGAAGGTAAAATGGTAACATCCTCTGGATCAGGCAGAGGTCGAGTGTTATCGGGATTACTTCTGTAGTATAGTTGTACAGCAATACTTTTTTATAAGGTAATGAGACTACTACGGACCCTCTACCGGCCAAACCTTGTTAACAAAGCCGCAGTCAAGGTTTGGTGAACGGTAGTTAAAAGCGCTTAAGGGACATAAGTATAGCAAAAGTAAACAAATGATCAGGATTTTGTAATTAATTACAAACTATCAAACGAAATTGTTTAAAAACATGGAAACACCATTCGTTGATTACCAATTACCATCAGCAGCTGTATTCGTTGATCAAATATAGTTTTACACAATACACAGCATTAAAATAATAACCCCCTCCATATTGTTCAATCCTGGGCTAAAGTCTTGAGAACCTGTACAGTGTACTTGTCAACTTTATATTTTCCCAAGTTCCCTAACAGTAACACCCTTGTACTTCCGGGGACCGGCATGCCGATCGAACATGGTTTAACTTCCTTAGCTCTTCCGGATGGTTTTGTAGAGTCCCATACCAATGGCTTCAGCTTCTCGCACAGGTCATCCCCAACTCTAATTACTTTGGAGTAATATTTCTCAAGGTCTGCTATGAAAGTGTTGCGATGGCAGCTAAAGGTATTCTCTGAAAATAGAAACTAAAAGTGTCAATATATTGCTTGCAGGAATAACTTTGGACAGCACCAAAGCTTTAAACTTTTAGAATTATCTCCTAGGTTGTAATATATGTGTATTATATTTTATATATATACCTTGTTTAATATTTTGCCAGTTTTATATCATGTTGGAGACAGATGTTTTCACGTTATTGTATTATGTAATATTCGGGTTAAAACATTAATTATTAGTCACATTTTCTAATTTAAATGTGCGGGATTTCTGGCAATCACCTTGTTGTATTTATATCTGCATAAACAGTTGAAGAAAACCGCCCATATTGATGTTGTTTCATAATTCAATATCTGTTATAGTTAACCATTAACAGATATTGTTCGTTGATTCGATTAAATAGTAGACGATAAAGTGTGAAAATAACACTATGACGGAAACCATAGTTTATCTGAGAGATTTTATTACTCGTACGATTTTCGTTCACTATTTTCGTTTACCATTTTCGTTTACCACTTTCGTTTACCATTTTCGTTTACCACTTTCGTTTACCATTTTCGTTTACCACTTCCGTTTACCATTTTCGTTGCTGGCAAATAATTACATTTTTACACAAGAATTTGTTGATCAAGGGGTGGACCACTTCATCGTACCCTCTGTAAACAGGCTGTATTCCTGTTTCTATATTGCCGTAAGTTATTCGGTCACTTTAGGTAGAATTACTCTATTATTGGGGGGTAACGGGGCGGTCGTTTCGTCACTCACGCTGCTTAACTGTATTTTCTTCACATCTTTGCAACGTTTTGTGCACCCTAGTATGTGTTTAATGTTGTAAACAATTGTTTTTCAACTAAATAGAAAGCAGGAAAGCTATATTGACAGTTATATTAACAGTTACATTGACAGTTATCAAATCATGTTTCTGCATAATTTTGTGAATTTAACGACTCTCGAAATCTAAAATCTATAATCTAAATCTTATCGTCTTTCTATTCACGCTATAATATTCACGGAACATTGATAGGACCAATGGAAATGCCCAAATGCCTCAATCAGTCCAGCGTCTTCAAATACAAATAGTAGAGACACTCCGAATACTAAAGATTGTCCATTGGATATCCTGAATATTAAAGACTTCAATTGGAATTTAAACACTCATTCGTTGTTTGATTGCAGGAAATATTGATTCTTAATATCAAAGATTGTCCAATATCCATGGCCATAAAAAATAAAGAAAATTTCTCATTAGTTATTAGTCTGTCAAGAACATATCAATCTGTAAGAATATAGTTAAATTAGCCAGGCAGTATGTTGGATAATCAACTTAATAATGGGCCTGTCAGCACTAACCAACTGTGAAAATTCTTTCTTTTATGCTCTTAGAAAAGAGGCGGCGACTAATAAATCCTCATCGACTCTTTATTGATGTTATTTAAAACAATAACAACTTTATAAGTTGAACTTATTATGAGGATCAAGATGTTAACGGTCATTTTTAACCTGTTATCTTACTCATTCTTAATGGTTTATAACCATAATTAATGGCTTGTTGATTTCAAAGTCAAATTCAACGTCAGCATCATTACGTACTCATTCGAGCAATCATCCCTCTACCTTGTTAAAAGATGTGACGAGCATATAGCTGCATATCAGACATATTTACAGCGAGTCAATATCACGTGACAGCTATAAAAGTTCATTTTTCTTTTGTCGCTCTATAGCAGTAAAGCAGTAGCGTGACAGTAACTACTGTTACAATGTTACATTTTCCGCGTTTAATGACAGTCTGTGACTGCTACAATGCAGTCTAAAACTGTAAAAACACCGTCTGAAACTGTCCTAGTTTCCACCGCATCCGCGATTCTACCACAAATCTCACCAGAACCATCACAACAGCTCAGGATCTATTTAAACTGTAACACCACGTCGTGCTTGCCAGCTATACGACAAACCATGACGTTGGTTTGCAGCGAGTAGCTCATACAATAACATCCGCCAGATACCCTATTACAATTGACATGGTGCAAACATTCCAAGCATGTTCACGTCACCGCTACTCCGTATAATGCCCATACTTTGATTTTCAGTTTATCTTTGTGCTCGCGTCCCTAGTCTTGCTACGTGGAAACTCAAGATTTCTTAAACTTAAAGAGGTAGGTAATTTTTGACTTCTGGTAATTTTTGCTTTAAGTTTAATGAGGTGATCTCAATTTTAATTTTTGTTGTTGTTCATGTTTCGGAGTTTGGGTGCGACGATTTATTGAAAGACCCGATGACATTTATAGGCATAATGGCTTTGAAACAGTTTTGTTGTATGAAATAAATTATCTTCAAATAATCATATTCAAAATAATCATAAAACAAAATAATATTAGCTCATAACTAGACATGATGATTATATATATTGTAAAGTCCTTGGCATGTGAATTAATTTGTGGAACAGCCATTGGCTATTATACCGTAACATCTAACAGAGTAACAGTCCTTCCCACCCACCTCGGACTGCGCTTTGTTTTTAAAATAATCCTTACAGCCCTCTGCTCTAACAGCCGGCTCATAGCCATAACGAAACACAAGTAAGCGCTGAGTATTTATAGCCTACTGTTAGAGAGCCATCATGATTCAGTTAGGGATAATAAACATAAATAAAAAACCACATGGGAACTAATTTGCCACAATCATTTCTGTGCAGGGCTTTATTATCTTTAGTCCAAGGAACCACTTGCACTCAAAAAAGTTATTAAAGCAGATCTGATGGGCACAACTAGCTATAAGAAGTAGAACACTAGAACCTATTTTCTCCAGGCGTAGTACACGAACAAACGTTCAAAATGTATATTCCTTACTGGGCGGCGCTCAGCCTGTCATTCCGCCGAATCTCTAGATCGTGTTTATGGACATTATTATATAGCCTGGGGTCCCCAGGTAAGTGTATTCCATTAGGAAGGCACTCAGGAGCTCGCTAGGGGGTGCAAAATGCATCCGCTATGGTCATATTATGGCAGGCGAATGATGGTTTGAAAATGCTCAGACCATCGCGAATCGAGATATCTTAATTCTTTGGAACAAATTGAAAATCGTTGATATTTTTGGTCCATTTTCCTAACTTTCGTTGGGAAGGTAGGTATAATTCCTGGTATAACAGACTTTTTATAAATGTAGGTCGGTTAAAAATTGGCGAGCTTGCAATAATATGACCATGTCCATAGCGGCAGTTTTCACCACCTATTGAGCTGAGTGCCTTCCTAATGGCAAAAATATATTTTTAAAGTTTGTTCGTAGGCGCCTGGAGAAAATATACTCTAGCTAGTTGAATTGTGCCCATCAGATCTATACCTTTACAACTCTTTGGGGTGGACAATTTCAGATTCCTGCACAGGAATGCTTGTACTTGTAGCAAATTAGTTCCCAGAAAATATACTCAATTCCCTAACTAACTCTTCTTAAAACAAAAACAAATTTTGCTCCAAAAATGGCAATTAGATCAGCATTTTATCTACTTGCTCGACTACTCTACAACTGTCCACAGTTGATCTAAGTTTGAAACAGCAATGTGGTGATGTGGTGTTCAATCATACGAGGAATATCGTCTTAATTCTTGATGTCAGGGATCAGATACGCACCTGAAAGGAACCTTTAACTCAATCTTAAGATTTCGTGTTTATTTATACAGGGTTTGACGCAGAAAAACAAATTATCGATGGTAAAAATCTAAAATCGAACAGGGATCAAGCTTAGATTCAGGGTTAATGACTATTGACTAATGTTGTTACTACGGTTGAGTTTAGTATTCGCGGTTGAGTTCCGTACTAGTCACGGTTTAGCTTAAAGGTCACTGTTTGCACTCAAAGTACGCTTAAAAGGTTCTTTTCAGCCACAAGCCTAATTATTTTACCTTTCAAATTCAAGTTTTACGCCAATATGTGAACATAAGGCTGAAAATTTCAAATGATATAAAATCTTATAACCACCCGGCACCCCACTTAGAGATAAAACGAGATAACTGTGTAATCGTTGCCCAGCACTGCTGTGGCCCTCGGGTGATTGCTGCCTGACATCTTAAGTGAACATTTGATCACGATCACACGGCGAATGTTTAACTATTCGAATACCAATCAAGCTGCCAATTAGCAGTGTCCCGGTGTCAGCCCAATTAAACGCTGCTAACTTAAACAATTAATTAACAATTCCTGGTAGAAATGCTAGTACATCGTCACTGGATCAGTTACAGTCACGTCTATTTAATCATGCCAAATAATTTCCTATTTTTCGGTTGAACACATTTTGAAACTGCCTTACCTTTTCTGCTCATCCCCTCCTCGGTAAACGAGTCTTGGTTTTGAATCTTGATACAAGTGTTCCTAAAGTTTTGTTAAAGTGGTTTCTGGTTGCTTAATCGGAGGATGACGGCGGACGATCAGTGGCCAAAGTTGGAGCGACAAAACGCAGAACTGGACCTGCTACAGCCAAACCAGCGTATAAAGTGTACGAGGTGCAGGCAGCATTTCATCTTTAACAAACTCAGAGAAAGGGGGGTGGTAAGTTCATTTAACTTTTAATGCAAAAAATTCCAAATTTTGGATTTATTGACCAAAAACTGATTTTGGCCACTTGCTGATTCAATTTTGCAAACTTTTGATAAAAACATGCAAGAGACTTCTAAATGCATTTTAACTAACCACTTACAACTTACCACAACGAACATATTTATCTACAAATTATCCATTTACAAAGACCATAAAATACTTATTACTTTTCGGGGTATTGGCGAAAAAGCTAATTTCCGGTGACGCAAAAAACACGCTTGCAGGATTAATAATAGATTTTTTTTCAAATTTGACAAAAATTTCATCGCTGAGACGAAATTTATGAGCATTATAAACATTTATTAAGTTAATTATCAATTTATAAGCGTATCTTAATCATAACATGTAACGTACTGTTCCAACCTAACAATTAGCCTCATCTTCCTAACAATAATAATAATAGCCTGAGAGCTTTTTGTGGTTTTCAAAGAGGGAAATAAAAATATTAGAACTCCATTGTTACCTGCATCCTCCCCACTGGTCACGCGGACACTGAAACATCAGCTGATTGGTCACCATGACAACCACGTGGTTACCACGTGCGTGCTGATGTCAATGTGTAAAGCTCTGCTCAGGGATGATTCAGATTACTTTGTTAACCGCATATGTATACTTTGTTTTGCGATAATAAATGACGGGTCACTTTAAAGAGCGTTTTAGTTTGCTTATCAGTTCCCTTGACTACAAGTACAGACGTTTCCGGGAGAAAAAGAGATTAGGGGTAAGCCGGGACTAGCTAGTCTTATTTTAAAATTGTAACAGGAGTCTTAAAACAGCAAGGGATTCCAAAATTTAATTTATTCAACGAGTCATCTTGACGCTTCATATTTTTTACGCCCACCAGGAAATGATCTATGCTCGATGTAGTACTAGTAGTCGATAGAAATACCACAGTATCGTATAAAAAAGAAATAATTACTATTATCATTATAATAGTAATTATATGATTGAACATGTTTGTAAAAAGTCGATTTTTATATATTTAAAATTCCCCACAAATTAACTTCCAGAATCCAGATAACTCAACAATTTGAGAGAAATCATATTCCGTAAATAAATGCGCATCTAATTCTATGAACGGTAGCTGAAAAGTTCAGAAATGTAGTTGTATCGGGTCTTTCGGATTGTTAAGTCCGGAATGTTGCCCCAAAACTATTCAGACATTTACACTCAATCTCTCAAATTCCTTCCGCATGATTCTTTTTGAAACAACCTCTTATATTATTCGTCCCTTGACAACGACTGTTATTGCTTTACGATATTATGTACTTTATTATTTTATTGAAGCATAAGCAATTGTCTGCACACATGAAGTTGGACAATGGAGTATGGACATAATGGAGCAGAGGAGTAATTAAGCTTTTATATAAGGGAACCAGAATTACGGATGTTATTAGGTTTGAAGGATGGTATGGAACCATCCAACCATTATAAGTTTATAAGTTTATAAGTGATTTGAAATTTTCTCTTCGCTTCACATCGGCCGTAGTGTTCTCCTTGATCATTTCATGTTTAATTCCTGTTTAATTCCATTGAAAGCATTCTAGCCTTTTGTTCGAGGAAATTTAAAAAATCATTTATGTTTCAATTTCTCTACTCTCTTCAATATTTTGCTCTAAGCTCTGTACTGTAGAAACTTAGAAAGTATGGATTTTATTTGACAATGACGACAACGTTGTAAGTATTCGGATTTCCTAAACGATACTTTTTACTGCATCAAAAATTATCAATCACAATTCACAACCAAAGTTATGGATAGTAATAATTTTGAGCGTAAATGTGAGCTTTAAGCTTTTAAGTGATTACGTATAATAAAGCATGACAACGCGCGTTGCTAATCTGTAGTTGCTCGCGCACGTGCAATTTTTTGATGTTGCTAAGCAACGACGCGACGCAGTAAACCTTTGCTAAAATAACGCTATTATTCTAACGTTTATTCTACCTCACTTTCGACGTCAATTATACAAAATCTAAAGCCTAAATCAAAATTCTAAGAATGATGTCTCCTATTCTGTTCTTTTTCTACAACCCTGCTAAAAATCGCAAGGTTCCAACTCCATTTGCGAGCTCAAATGGGTCAGGAAGAATGGTCGGTTTTTGCAGGGTTGTGAAATACGTGTTTTACGTTTTTTTGAATTGGAGCGTTTTTGCGTTTTTTTAACAGGTTTTTGCGTATTTATTTAAAAAACGTTGTGATTTATACGGAAATTTACAATGTTTTGACGGTCACCAACTACCAGTAAACGAACCAGCGAAGTACGAACACTGAGGCCTGGGCCACAATCACTTAAGCAAATTGCAGTCTTCAGTGACGAGAGGAGAAGTGACCTTACCCTTCTCAGTCACGAAAAGGAGCTTGTCAAAGCTATAGACATTGCTGTCATTATTGACAAGTTTGCTGAGAGCAACCGCAGAGTTGTGTTGAATTGAACAAGTTAACAGTCTCAGTCAGTGTCAATTATGTTTTAATTGTTATTAAAATATTTTTACCTTTATTTTCACATTTAAAACATTATGTTTTATTGAACTCTTCAAGTTAATTCAGACACTTTCTGGTAAGGTTATTAGCTTCTAAAAACGCAAAATTTTCCGGGGGCCTTGCCCCCCCTAGACCCCCCTCAGAAAGGGGGCTGCCCCCCCAGACCCCTGCCGCAGCGCCTTCGGCGCTGTATGTGAATTGTGAATCTCCTTGGTGCTTCGCACCAAGTTGCACCCCCAAGAATAATCGGCTGGAGCCATGCCTGGTCAACACAACTGGCAAGTTTGATTGGTCATACCGCTACATTTTGAATTTTCACGTGAGTCTGCTTGATTAGATTATGCGAACGTTTTTTCTCGTTTTTTTCTCGTTTTTTGAAAAAAATAGTAAAAAGCACGTTTTGAACGTTTTTTGAGTTTACCATTCACGTTTTTCACAACCCTGGGTTTTTGGTCAATTTTCAGTGTTTTTTTGTCCCCGTTGCGCCCGTTGCCGGGGGATTTCGTCAAGTTTAAAATATAGTATAGATATATAGATCCAAGAACAAGGGTGCTGATACATCGCGTCGGAGGTAATCTGTTACTGTAGAAGTGTAGACTTGTAGAGTACTCGTTGAAGCTCGTGATAAATGATAATCCTCTGGAGTATCCTCAATTTTCTTGAAAGTCTTGGGAAGATACAAATGTAAAAGCTGTCTGTCCTCTACGGTTACTCGTGATTTGTTACCTTGATTGTAGAGGACACATCTGTAGTCTGTAGTATGTCTTCCATTTTGGGACCTCTCTGCAGTGAATATGTATCTGTTGATGATCACATTCCTTTTTCCGCATATTTTTCCAGGAACGAAGATTTGAATAGTATTTATACCACAAACCATCACGTGAACTTGTTATCGATGATGCGATCCTCTTTTCCGATTAGTACGCCTGTTACAAGGTTACAGTCAATGCAAGCGAATAAAGGCTTCCTAATAGCCTTTTAGAGTTTTAGCCTTTAACAGGGGACATCAGGCTTAAGTGTCCATATAACGGCCCAGTAAAATAGCCTATTAGGAGCCCAAACAAACTCGTGGTGAATTTTTATGACGGGAGAAGGTTTGGTTCCTCGCAAATTGGTTTTATTTGTACCGTAGCTGTTGTTGTAAATAATTTGGTAGGGGCTTTGACCGACACAAAACATCTAGAAAAATTAAAATATATTTATTCGTTATTTAATATGGTCTGAGCAAATATAAACCCTCATTTGCCTGGAATAATCAATTATCTGACCATTTTGATGTTGCTACGCAACGACGCAGTCAAAATTTGCTAAAATAGCGCGTTTATTCTGACGTATGACTTCCATGAACGTTATTAAGTATTAACAAAAAATATGATATAATATAACTAATACTATATAATAAGTAAGATAAGGCGTAAATCAAAATTATAAAAATGCTATATATTCTTTGCATATTGATATTCTTTTTCTGTTGTTTTATATCATTCTATAACCTTGCTAAAATTTCCGAGTTTTCAACTCATTTTATAGCTGAAATTGTTTTCAACAAAGGGTCACTTTTTGGTCAATTTTTGTGTTTTTATGACGTTGCCGGGGAGATTTCGTCAAGTTTAAGTATAATATATATGTTCATTTAATGTTAATACTTTGGTATGGTGATTGGCTGGTTGCCGATCCTTGATTTTGAATAGATCCTCCATTCTCAAATATTTATATTTCATTTTTCACCATTTATCATTCGTCCAGTTTATGTTCCATTATACAGACGATATGCTGAAATTGTAACATCGATTCTTAAAGGGTATGCTATACATTGTAGTTCAATAAGTTTCACTTATCTTTGAATGTTCGGGAAGCCGAAAGATAGATAAATCTTTGATTTTAGAGAGGAAACTGTGAACTGATGTAGCAAAATTTTGAACACCCCACGAACTTGTTTAATAATATCATATAACAAAACGTAATTTTATGAAAGAAAAGTAACCGTAAGAAAATATGGAGTTAGTCATGATAATCACCATATTTGACCATGTCTTCCTCCTTTTATCCGAAGATCAGGTTGATTTAATAATCAGCAGTATAAACGTGACTCCTGTCTGAAGAATATGACGAATTCGAGTAAATATTGTTACTCATTTGGTCCGGTATCTGATTGATCATAATAATTTGTTTATTACATCATCTCTCCTGGGCCGGACTTCTTCGTGACCCAGGAGGGGACACCCACAGCATGTCAGGCTAGGCAACGTATGGCAGATGATATATTATTATACATGCAGACATTATGGCAATTATAATGTGACCTCACGGCCTCATGTCTCACTATACAACTATTCAAACTATGACGATTACTTCTGACGAAAAGGAGATAGTAGATACGACCAATTTACACTCACGCCGACACCACCACGAGATTAGGATATTAGTAACTATGTTGTTGCTCAAAGTTGGTTGTGTGATCATTGTCACGTTTTATCATGTTGAAATGCAGACAAGTGCTGGTTTTTCTTGGGGAACTCCAGTCAATATGGTTCATTTGTCGGTCATAAATCTGTTTCGATCAATAAGGGATGAGGTGAGATTTTTTGTTTTGCTCTATAAGCTTATATGCTTTGCTTGCTCGTAGAAGCCATGCTACATTACTTAAATAAAACATTAAGTAATGTAGGGCGTAGACAGCAATTTATTCATTCGTTCATCAAAGCTATTCATTATTTGTTGCCTGTGTGAACTATTAACAATTTTCATCCATGATTTTGGCAATTTGCCCTTTTCTGCTCATAATTAGGGCTGTTTATTACAATTGAGGCCAATGATCACACTTGGGTGCGCTCAAATAAAGGCTGATTAGGTATAACACAACCCTCATAACTCACCACCTACATTGTCACGTTTTTTTAGGAGATGAGTTAACCGAAATGCAGTGAAATGTACGGCAGATTATTCCGTAATTGCCGGTTAAAAGAAAATTACAAATATCGATTATTAATATGATACTTACATAAAATATTATAAATATAGTATAATTACAATAAAATCAGTAAATTACTAACAATTGTTACCATGCGTACTTCCTTAACATTACGCCCAGCATTCCTTCGAAGTTAGTAGTAGTAAAGTCTTTATGACACCTTATCTAAAATTACTATTTGTCATGTGACAGAGGGCTCTGTGAAGTTGACAATGATAGATTTAGAACAATAGTACAAACTTAGGGGTCCAGCTTGGTTCCTGTTCGGGTCCGCTAGTGTCCGTCTGTTATTGTCCGACTGTCATTGTCCGTTATTTAACCTATTGTTTGCATTCTTTTGTTGCGTTTATTTTACTAGGTAGATTATATAATTAAAGCTGACTAGGAAGCCACTTTCGGTTATCTTATAGTTTGTTGTGTCACTTTATCGGACTGACAGGTAAGTTTGAAAATTGGTAAAAGCTGATCTGCTTTAAATTTTGAAATTTCTATAAAAAATGCAGCTAAAATTTAGTAGTTGTATCCATGACATTAACTGGAATTTAAGCACATATCGTAAAATGGCGTACAAAATGTTATTAACGAACATCGATAGGTATTAACTATTGATATGTTGATTGTTGATCCTTACTATACATTTATAAGTAAGCATTAAAACAGATTAAACCAAAACCTCTCATCAAGTGTTCACTGTTCAGACGGGGAGAGAATGCATTAAAATTAAAAAGTGCATCCAAATTCGATAAAAATTACCGAATAATTATCCAAAACGCTATAATGCCCGTATAATGATACATACATGTTCTTTATCAGGGTACAATCAGTTTCTAGCTTCTTTACAAGACGTCGTTTTGTCCTATCATCAAGTTTGCTAAATTTATACTTGTCCTTCTTCTGTAGCAGACGCCTAGCACTTGTCACACAGCCTCCACAAATCCAATAACAATGAATAAGTCTTCACAACATCGAGTTTTGTTTCTTTTCTGAACCCCATTTTTCTCAAAATTCGACTTTTTGGAACAGAGCCAAAAAAATGAACAACGTTGAATCGCTGGAACAAATGAGCTTAACAAATTAAATTTGTAAGCTTTATGAACTAATGGCAACCGATAATGGGCATTTTGCTCCTTTATAAAAAAATGTATTGTTTGTTAAAATCAGGACATTATTTTTGAAACAGGGTACCCTGTAAAATGATAAGCTCAACAAAATGTCAAGGAACTGCAGGCAGTGTGTGGTATTAAGCCTTCAAGATGGTGTTTAGTGGTATTTACTCTTCGAGATCATGTGTTACCTAAAAGTTCCAGTTACCTAATAGATTACTGTTACAACTGACACTACGTCATTGTCGTGCAAATACACGGCTTCACAGGGGGGTTCATGCTTCATGCATCATACCCTCACTTATTTTGTTATATATGGAACCAACTTTACAGTAAATTCACTAGTCTTAACTCAAATTATTTAACCTGGATGACTTTGTTGATTTCGCTTTATCCAACGACGGTAAGGATATTATATTAATCTCGCACTCGACTGCTTTGAAAGCGTTTACCGTTCAAACTTCAACATGCTAGGTTCAAAATACTCGTTAGTTACGTTATCACGTTTATACGAACATGCAAAACGATCATTAACTTGCAAAAGAAGAGTGGATCTAACGGTGCGACGTTTGCTGATGAGATAAATTTATGGTTTAGCGCTTAATAAAGACTTTTATCGTATAGGTAGTAGTTGCTTAATTAATAAACATGGTTTACATTTAATGGTTCAAGAATACATTCTATTATTATATTAGTAGTAAACTGTATTGAGAACCGGATCTTTTCAGATGGGGTGGTTACAGGATTTCAAGGAATTTTCAGACGGTACAACCGCTCATGGAGTTAAATACATTTTCCATCCTTCGGTTCATGGAAACTTTAAGGTACTGTATTCAATAACTTGATTATAGGCTCAAAATTATAGTGGCTATCTCGGTGTGAGATTCTGGAACTTTTTGTTACAACAAAGTTTACGTTTTTGTTATATGTTAGGTAACTGAATGATAAGCCTCTACTTTTTTCATTATTTTAATTAATTTTTCCACAATATCCTAGATTGTGAAAATCTTGTTTTTGGTGGTGTGGTTGGTCGCTATCGCTTACTCCCTATTTGTCATCTACAATGCTGTTGGAAACTACGTGGGAAAACCTACAGGTATTAAACTTAAATTGTTCAATTCAATTGTTATTTAACAAGTTAAATCTGCTTTACATTTCGAATTTTAAAATGAAATCTATGTTCGACTAAACTGTAAACGGTTTATTTGCATGGTACATCACACAAACAGAATTTTAAGGTGAACGATATTGAAAATTTTCTTAGATTTGAAGTCTCATAACACAGCTCTTTTCTCTGATAACACTCGATAGATAACCTTTCCATGATCCTCTCATTTTCACTCTTCTTTACAAAAGAGTTCCTTTCATGAATGGGTCCAACCACGGGAGACTCCTTCAGCTTCTGAGTCAGTTCTGACACAATAAGTTGATCTCATCCTCCCAGGAACGAAGTTTCAAGTGATAGCATCTGATAGAAGCAAAGACAAGCCATCATCCATAGATTTCCCCACCATATCAGTGTGCAGCCACAACCTGGTGAGGAGGCCACCCCCTATTTCTCATGATTGTGGCATTAACAGTTTCACTTTATCGACGAATTGTTCACTACTTTTGTCTGATAAAGAGAAGTTTCAGGAATATAAAAGTTAAGTTTACTAGAATTTGTATGTCAAATATAAATATGATGTATGACCTCTTTTTCTTAGAACAGGAACTAATGTGAGATATTTAAATCTGTGTTCTCAGGTAACTAAATCGTATTTCGACTCTAAAGATGGTCTGGAGAGTCTGTGGACGGAGCTGGACCAGTGGGATCCTGATATAGCCGAGAAACTGGACTTCAGCGAAGGAAGTGAGGCAGGAAAGTAAGTATACCTCATCTCATACGTAACACTAAGTAATATGCATTAGTTAACTGCTTTTAGTCCGAGTCGCTAATTTAGCATTTGCGTCCTATTTAACTTATAATTTTCAATATTATCACTTTTACCTCACAATTGTACCTCACAATTATACCTCACAGTTATACCTCACAATAATTATACCTCACACTTTTACCTCACTACCTGTTAAGGTACAAGGACTGGACCTACGAGAAGATAATCTCAGATGGAGGGCCCTCAAATTGGACATTTTTACAGTGTGAACACTTTATCAACCTCTGCGAGGAGGTCATTCCTGGACCTGACTTCTACGAACGGGTTAGTTTACTATTCATCACTCATACAAAGTACAACTTCTGTTAAGGAGTCAGTCCACGAATATAAGTAGGATCGTACTTCAAACAAATTGAATTTTAAGGCGAATAGGACAAAATCTTTGCAATGGAATCATATGCATAATATGTATATTGTATAATGTATATTGTAACTTTATATAATGTATAGTGAAGAAGAATTTACTGAAAATACAAATTTCACGACAGGAGGCGACCCTGACAGGGAACTGTTTCCGAATAAACCCTAACGGCAAGCTCAGGGGTAAAGGAGGCGACTACGGGAAATTGCAACTCATGTTCTTTGCAGACCTCAACGAATACAGGTGAGTGAAATGCTGTGTAGTGGTGAAATGCATAGAAAGATGAATATATCTGTTGATATTTCAAGTTCTAAGCAAATTCTATACAGCTGTAAAAGCAAAGGAATCTGAGTACCCCTCCCAATGTTCCCTCACTTTTTAAACTACAACTATTCTCAGTGATATGACAAAAAGGGAACCCCAGTACGGTTACACAGTCGTGTTCCACGACCACGAGAGTTACTCCAGTACTATTCCCTCCGGTTTCTGGCTTTCTCCTGGCTCTATCTACAAAGTAGATCTTAGTCTTACCAAGGTTCGTGTCTACTGCAACACTGTACTTCTAACCCACTGTATCCCATGCTGCCCCACTGTATAGTGTATACCAAATGTAGTCACCCACAGTCCGCAATGTCCGGTCCTCCCCACTGTGCCTCTGTGCCCCCCTCCCACTGTGCCTCTGTGCCTCCCCCTCCCCCCCCCCCCCCCCCCCACTGTGCCCCTTCCACTACACCTTAACTTCATACAAGACCTTATCCAGGAGTTCCGAGAGCCCCCTCCAGCAGGAACATGCGACCCAACACGTGTCAACAACACTTACGGGAGATATGAAGAGAACAGGTTAGAAACTTGTAGTTTCTTTGATTAGCACTGTTACTCTAGGATATCAATAATTAATAATGCTGGTTTAGGTTATAGTAGCAAGGATTATTCCTTTGTTGTCTTCGTAATGTCTGTCGTAATGCATATATCATGTCTCTGACAGTCTGACAAGTTGACGATGTCGGTGAAATAGGGCTGTAACAATAGGGCTGTTCAAACTGATATATATGGGACAAGAGAAACACTCAAACACCATCGTAGGACACGAGGAGGATTACATTAAATCAATTCCTTCTGTAACGTCCTCAATAAATCTATAAATGTTGTAGCATAGCACAGCAATAGCATTTTTACGTTTTGAATTTTTAACACTTGTTTTTAGATCATGAATACGATGTAGTTACATTGAAACGTCGAGTAATCTCCTTTCCCTAATAAGAGCATTTTTACTTGTCGCAACAACCGGGATAAAGATAATTTTACCCAGAATACATTACAACAATGCGACTCATAAATAATACTCCAATCCGGATTTTACATTGTAGCATAGAGTTTTAGTGTTGTAAATGTAATTTATTCAAAATTTCGTCTGCATTCCCAGTTGAAAAAATATATGTAGTTTTAATATTAAAAATAAGCTTTGTGCCAGCATTTCGACGGCCCGATTAAACGGTACCGGTATTAAACATAAATTTTGTGCTCGGAATTGACTCAATCAAATGCAGACATGCAAGTTTCTTAATTCTTTAATTGCCTCTGACGTCCCATTCCTACCAAAATTTTTACGGCTAGTTTAAAAACATTTATATGGTCATTACTACAACGAGTTATTTTTTAAATTTCTTAATATGAGCAGGCTTATACTTGAAAAATGCAAAATTGACGTCAAAAGCACATTCGTTCACAAACTATAGCACATTAACATATAATTATAATATTGACGACTAATTTCCCAACTCCAACTCCACTGTTGTAGCTCTCTGTTATATATTTTTGATGACGATAGTTAACAATGGTTAAGTAAATTCCGTTATCACGAGACGTAATAATTTAAAAAAGCTCATTTACCACAAATTATATCAGTGATAATTAATATTAGTTATAAAAGTAATATCAATAATATAGGTAAGTAATACTAGTAATATAAGTAATAACAATAATATAAGTAGTATTAATATTATTAATATCATTCATATTATTAATATTAATAACATTGATTATAAATAATATAAGGAATATCAATAATGTTAGGAATATTAATATTATTAACAATGTTAGTAATAACAGTATTATAAGTAATATTCATACTACTAATATTGATAATATAAGTAATATCCCCATTATTATGCAGCTGTATCGCCCAATGTCGAGACGATGTCCTGATGGAGAAGTGTGGTTGTGTGCACGTGAGTCCGCCCCACCCCCACAACGTTCCAGACAAACTGTACCGGGGCTGTACTCTGCAGGAGTGGGCTACCTGCGGTCTCCGGGCCTACAAGGACTGGGGTGAGTTATATTTATTGATCTGAGTAGTTTACCAGACAAACTGTACCGGGAATCACTCAGCAGAAGTGGGTTAACTATGGTAAACAACCATAACAACTTCCTGCCATCCTAAAGGGAAATTATAAGTTTTACAAGCACTTGGATAGGCATTCCTCGCATAGCAGACCAGCTTATTAACAAATAACAGCTGATCAAAATTGTATCGAATGTGATAAACTGCTTGATAGATTTACTGTGAAAACAGAAATATTGCAATTATATCAAATGCTTCAATAGCTTTCTACTTGTTTGTTTAAAATCGATACTTTAAATTCATGCTATCACACGTTGCCTTATACGTTGCTGTGTTTAAAGGTTTAACATAAGTTTACTTTAACTACTGCTGGAATACAAATTATATTGATTATTGAATGTTTTCTATCTTGAGCAAACCTGTTCAGTGTTCAGTACTAATATATTCACCAACCAGCTCCCTCTTTCTTGATTCAAAAGTTGTTACCCTGCCCCAGATCTGCCTCAGATTTGCCCCTCTCCCCCTAAATGTAACAATTGTACTCTCCTAGTGGTTGAGTACTCGAATGTGAAGAGGTTGCAGACAGATTGTAACTGTCCCCCAACTTGTACAGAAATACAGTACAAAGCTCAAATGTCCAGTTCTCAGCTCAGCAAGTTCTATGCAGAGGGCAAGGCAGGTGAGCTAACTTAACCGCTAACTAACCACTAACTAACCGCTTCTCCTCTTTTTTGTGATTTTGTTAATGAACTTGAGGTTGTGTTTACTCTTTGAGGTATTCAAATGCTTGTAACATAATGTGATTTCTGATGAATAAACTGATTGAGCACAAATCATCCATTATTAAATCTGCGGTTGCTCTGAAAATTAAAACAGAGCGTTTAATAATCGACAGTTCAGAATAACGCAAGATGTGGTTACTGTTAAAATACACTACTCAAGTAGCATTGTAGTTTAATTATAAAACGTGCTTCATGCTTGATATCGATAAAAAGATCTGTTTCTTACCACTTGTAATCCATACCACAACTGATTAAAACTTAAAACTTAACACTCAACAGTGCATGAGGTTTCATAGAAATGTGTTAATAAAGAATACGGGAGCACGTTTAGTAGACTTCCAGGCGTATCAATTCAAGAAACTTGTGAGAAAAATTATTGGAGGGCAAAATTGAGTAATGATTTATTCTTGATTTTGGAAAACACTGTTGAATGTTGAAGATATCGGTGAGATGGTTTACTTACTCTGACGAGAAAGGCGTTTTAACCGGGGTCCCCCCCCCCCCCCCCCTAAACCTTCACGTCACCCTCAATAACAACCTCACTACAACCCAGCTCGGTTACCTCCTGGTTACGAATCTGCACAAGACGTTCTGGAGAACCTGTTGATCATAGACATCCTCTTCACCAGCATGCAGATCTCTGAGATCAGAGAAATTGTTACATACGGCTGGGGAAACTTCCTGGGTAATATGATAATTATAAATTGTTTTGTCGTAGGATTCTTGTGGGCAAAAAATCTTGTGCAGTGATAAAATGCGTAATTTGCACATTGCACGTGCATAGTGTGCACATTGCACGAGCGCATTTCTTTTTACCAAACAAACTTGCAGGTGACGTAGGAGGAGTTCTGGGACTGTTTCTGGGAGCGTCCATGTTTACCATCATAGAGTTCACTCAGTTTATAGTGTGCGCTGTCCTGAGGAGTTGCTGTGGACTGAACGACAAATCTCGTCAACACAGTCCGCTCACTAGCAACGAAAACTTGTAGTAATCTGCACTTAGATCCAGTAGAAATTCGCAACCCTTCAACAGGAAAAACTTAATGACCAAAATCCAGAAAAGTCTCGAACACCAAATTATTTTGGACGATGATAATCGCTGTAACTTACCAATATCTCGTAACAGTTTTAGATATTTTATAGTTAAACACTCGACAGATTGCTTACTTCAACTTGTAAGTAAGTAAGTACGTGCAATAAAGATAAGTAATCATGATTAGTGTAACACGTGTTACTCGAGGTCGATTTAAAGAATTTAAAGTTTGATAGAATTAGCGCCAGCAGCTCGGACCGAATAAAACCTAAAGTGGGACTGAAGCTATCAACATTGACCATGCTAATGCATGATATTACATGCAGTGTTACTTTTAATCTGTTAGAGTAAACACTGAACGTGTATCGTCTATCGAATGTAAATAATTCCGCACCGGGAAGAGAATGATTGAACTTATTTGATAGTATTGAGTTGATTTTTATCGTGTTAATCCGATATTATATGCTTAAATAATGTAAATTCTTACTACTTTACGAATAATATATTATAAACAAAATAAGTTGATCATATTGAGTTATGTGGAAACAACATTCTATTAATTGCGTAGTTTAACAACATGAGTTTATGGATATTATAACAACAATTCGATCTTTTATGGAGAGTCTATTTTTATCTGTTCGGTTAATTCACTAGTAGTATTATATTATTATTCAAGAGCTAAACGTTATTTTGGCAGTGTTAAAATGTAAATTGTTGAGCTTTATTTAGCCTTCATATCTTCATGATTAAAATCGATGTTGACATTAGGGTATTTCAACCCCAAACTAGCATCTGTTTGTTTGTTTGTTGTTTGTTTATAGAACCCGTCCCCAATCTCGTATCGGAAACGGGAAAATGACTAAACTCAGGTCTGAGTGTGAATACGGGTGGTACCTGCAAGTATAACTAACATCTACCTAAACCGCCATAAAATATGCATCATGATTCATTTTCATACCACATATTCGTTTTAAATTGCACGCCGAAACGCTATATTTTGAAAGATTTGAACAGAATCAAATTTAATACCAATCCATGATATATACCCTTCAGCTTATTTGATAGCTCTTGAGATTTTGGGCTAATAAAAACGTACGTATCTAAGATAGGACTGATCAAACTTCAATTTCAGAAGTGAACCACATCTGAATTCTGAACTCTCAAAGATGTAGGTGCACTGGTGCATAGTGCATTTACTAATTGATATTCAGCTGTACACTCATCTTCCTTGCATGAAAGGTTCATTACGGATAAGTTATCAATTAATCAGCGCTTTAGTAATGATATTAAGTCCGCACTATATATAACCAAGTATAAATGATAATAAATTAAACGACAGTAACATTTCACGCAGCACATAATCATAAATAATACTCCACATTGTTTTTATAAATAAATTCAAAACCCTTGTAGCATTATGCTCGTTTAATGGCATTTGTCCAGAAGCGGCCTTATTTATTTATCCAATTTTACCTCATTATTTAATACAACACGTTCTATTAGTACGGGTGCGTCCAGAAGTGGCCAATTGTCCGAAAGCGGTCTTCTTTATTTATTAAATCTTTAAATGACGCAACGTAATTTGAGTAAAATGGATCTAATGTGGGGTTGTCTAATGTCAAATGTGCCTTCAATTTGACCACCATTCATTTGGCGAATCAAGATAGGAGCCACGCTATATTCCAACTACTACTACAGTGATTTTTGGTTATAAACAGAGTTTTGGTGTGTAATTATAAGCAGCGACCTCATTTTTAAAATTGTTTGCGCACGAACCTTTATTTGAATTTTGATATGTAATCTGTTCATAAGCAAACTAGCACAGTAACATCCGACTGACCGAGGCTAGATGTGCATGAAACCCATGTATTTATCAATTAAAATTGATTAAAATGAAAGCATATAAGTAGTTTCACTTTTAACGTTAAGTCCACATCTTCACAACCCAGTAGACTGTTTTCCACTAGAGGCCTTTTCACACTCCCCCTTACCTAGAGTTACAAGATATTGGGAACGTTACTAGACCACTCTAACCCACACCAAACCCGCTTTTAGAATTGGTAGAATTAGAAGTTGTCATGACAACACGGCCGTGCTCTGCACAACACTCACGTGTCCGTAGTCAGGGTAACAAGAGAAAGGCTGGTGTATAAGAGCAAACATATTTTACTGCAAGGTGGGGTCAGTAGGAACTGAACGTCTACCACAAGCTCCCACAACTACAGTCTAGTCCGCACCTCGCACACCACCGTAACCATAGTAACTGAGCAGTGGAATGGTAGTCGGGAAAATTGGGCAACAATTCCCCGATGTCTGGGGTACTCGGTAGCCATGGTGACGCGCAGCAACCTCCAAACGATAATGAGAAGGTGTCATCAGTTGTCAAGATGCAGTGCCTTCCACTTCTGCTTCATCAGTGAACTGTAGTTGGCCGGTAGCTTTCTTTAACAAACATGCAATGTAAATTGAAGTCTACCGTCTTTGGCCCTTGGCCCTTACGCATCAAGGTGGCGTTGTTTTGCTCGAACTAGCAAGAATGAAAAAGGCTTTGGCCTTTGCTGTTTCAAAGAAAATATAACGTATTTTTGGCCCAAATTTTTTGAATTGTGTTGAGAAAATGTCGTATAATAAGTGTACGTATAAACAGCATGTTCAAGTAAATTACCCACAAACAAGTGTGTTAATTCCGCTAACTGTTGCTAATGAGGAGGTCCCTCTGTCCAACACGTGGTCCCTCTCTCCACCACAGACACTGTCCACCTCTCCACTAGCCCGCCTTTTCTAAAAAGTAGTGTGGCTAGAGGAACTGGTGCTGCTGACAGGCCCCTATTAGCTAATAACCAGGGAAATTGTTGGCCTTGTCTGACTGGACATGGGACAGTTTACGTCTAAGCCTGCCCGGCTCGTGGCATTTTCATTCTTCTCATCTTCCCGCTTCAAAACCTGCTCAGCAGCTCGTGCCACCTTCTCATTCTTATCATCCTCCCACTTCTAAACCTGTTCAGCTCGTGCCACCTTTCATTTTTATCATTCTTGTCATCCTCTCGCTTCTAAACCTGCCCAGCCCGTGCCATCTTTCATCCTTATCATTCTTATCATCCTCAAGCTTCTAAACCTGCCCAGCTCGTGCCACTTTTCATTTTTGTCATCCTCAAGCTTCTAAACCAACCCAGTTCGTGCAACCTTTTATTCTTCTCATTCTCCCGCTTCTAAACCAACCCAGCTCGTGCAACTTTTCATTCTTCTTATCCTCAAGCTTCTAAACCAACCCAGCTCGTGCCACTTTTCATTCTTCTCATCCTCAAGCTTCTAAACCAACCCAGCTCGTGCCACCTTTAATTTTTCTGATTCTCCCACTTCTAGCAGCTCCAAGCTTCTCACTACACAAACATTATATACTCCTTTATCATAAAATCTGGATTATGTCCATAAACCCTTTAATAAATTGGTAAAATCTTGAATTTTTACATTATAAATGAATGAAACATGTTCCTTGGACAATTATAAAATATTAAAATCAAAGGTAAACTTTGAAAATACTCAATTTGACTTCACAAAAGCTTTATCCTCACAACTCGTGCATTCGCTAATACGGTTTTTGCAGAAATTGTTTCGATGCCCGCTTAAATTCTCTTCTTCAGAGCATCTGTATCTTTAGCCACCTAATTTTTCGATACGCATGAGAAGCAAAGACCCCTAAGAAGTCTACATTGTGACAGCTCGGTCTGGATCGGCTCGGGCACAAAAGTTAAAGTGGCTCCTTGCAAACTGCATGCTGCTCTGGAGAATTCAGAATTGCAGCGGTGTTCCTATATATGTCACCCAGTTGCTATATATGTCACCCAGTCACCGCTTTCAACTTAGTATTCTGAGTCTTTTAATGTGGATAGTGTCAATGTTAATAGGTCTAATGTTAATAGTTTTAGAAATATACGACTGGTCAGTGGTCACAGATCACAGCTGAATTGCATTGCAAGCTTTCGCTGAGAAATACCAGGTTTTTTATTCACTTCTCTCCTAAGACCTTCTTCTTTTCTTCAATCAATTTTTATAACTCTTCTTCCGGAGCCTCTCTGGTGCTCTATACGTCCATTACAATCACATTGTACATTATGAACTCATGAAAACATTGGTGTATGATATGATGAGCTGTACGGCGGTGTTTCCATCTCTCAACAAACGGTACGAAAAGATTTCAGCGTGATCTTGCTGAATATCATTACTTAGTGGATTGAGAGAACAGAAATTTCTCATCACATAACGTAGAGCTAACCTCGAGATAACCCGGCAGTAAACCTCTTTGTACCGTTCCTCTCTATTAGTATTACGGATACCTCAATATACCGGGCACCTCCATTTTTTTGTCGGAGCAGATTTGTATGCATCACCCGTTTCTCCAACTTCTAATAGACCATGACTTGGTCTGGTTTTGTTATTAAAATGCTTTCTTTATAACAATCTTTGTTGAACGCCAAATCTTTTGTGTTAAGCAATATTATAATTATGCATCCTGCTTTGTTCGTTGAATTGCGTTGCAGATCTCGAAATTATAACATGTCAAGTCATCGTGAGTAACTTTGTGATTGTTATATCGGTTCAAAATAATAGCTTTTTTTGAACAATTGTCCATTAACCAGGACGCATTAGGACGCATTAATGAGAAATATAAATATAAATTTATCGATTTTTATGTAATCAGAACTAAAATTATTTGTAATATATCTGCTATAAACATGCTATTATAAATTGGTTTAAGTTTCTTAAGCAGGGGAATCGCAGTTCAACCACTTGAAATTTAATTTAAATTTCTGCACTCGGATTATGTCACGATAAATTGAAATCTATAACTTTTAAAGCTTACTTCTCCGTTGCTGGAAGGATTTTAACTTTAACAGTGATCGAAATTTAAAGCAGCTTTGTAAAAATTCTTGATTTTCGAGCAAATATTCTTGTTGCAACGTTTTGTTATACAGTTAAATTGTATTAGTAAAACTGTAAAACTAGTGTTAAGTCCGTTGCTCCTGGAGTCTCCGCAGAGATTTCTTTTAATTAATTACTTCAAGTTCTACCTTTTCTGCTAAAGTGTATCAATATCACTGCGGGATTGTTGACTGTATAATAATAAAAATATGTGATTATAACATGTTCAATGTTATAATATGATTGCATCAGTGTGGTTGAAAAAAAATTAATAACGTTTGCTTCATTATGTTTTCTCTCAGTGATCACATTCAGCTGTTAGACTTAGAATCAGTAACCTTGCTTGTGTTGGTTTGTTAATCATAGGCGGGCCGATACAAATACCTCATTTCATCTCATCAATATCTTACTGAGGTTAGGGTTGGTTTTTTTGGTTTTTTTAAACAGAGAGATTGGACCTATGTGGCCCACAAGAGGATAGCACAGAGATGCTCTATACCTGCCTCTGGGTTGTAACAACTGCCTGCCTCTGAGTTGTAGCAACTGCCTGCCTCTGGGTTGTAGCAACTGCCTGCCTCTGGGTTGTAGCAACTGCCTGCCTTTGGGTTGTCGCAACTGCCTGCCTCTTGGTTGTGGCAACTGCCTGCCTCTGGGTTGTAGCAACTGCCTGCCTCTGGGTTGTAGCAACTGCCTGCCTCTGGGGTGTGGCAACTGCCTGCCTCTGGGTTGTAGCAACTGCCTGCCTCTGGGTTGTAGCAACTGCCTGCCTCTGGGGTGTGGCAACTGCCTGCCTCTGGGTTGTAGCAACTGCCTGCCTCTGGGTTGTAGCAACTGCCTGCCTCTGGGTTGTAGCAACTGCCTGCCTTTGGGTTGTAACAACTGCCTGCCTCTGGGTTGTGGCAACTACCTGCCTCTGGGTTGTGGCAACTACCTGCCTCTGGGTTGTAGCAACTGCCTGCCTCTGGGTTGTGGCAACTGCCTGCCTCTGGGTTGTGGGAACTGCCTGCCTCTGGGTTGTGGCAACTACCTGCCTCTGGATTGTAGCAACTGCCTGCCTCTGCAGGTTGTAGCAACTGCCTGCCTCTGGGTTGTAGCAACTGCCTGCCTCTGGGTTGTAACAACTGCCTGCCTCTGGGTTGTGGCAACTACCTGCCTCTGGGTTGTGGCAACTACCTGCCTCTGGGTTGTGGTAACTGCCTGCCTCTGGGTTGTGGCAACTACCTGCCTCTGGATTGTAGCAACTGCCTGCCTCTGGGTTGTAGCAACTGCCTGCCTCTGGGTTGTGGCAACTACCTGCCTCTGGGTTGTAACAACTGCCTGCCTCTGAGTTGTAGCAACTGCCTGCCTCTGGGTTGTAGCAACTGCCTGCCTCTGGGTTGTGGCAACTGCCTGCCTCTGGGTTGTGGCAACCCTCAAGGAATAGGATGCCGGGGAAAGATGAAGGACTGAAGGATCGGTAAAGTGGCAAGTGGTAAGAGGAGGAATTATTAAATTATTGTTAAATGTCCGAATGCTGAAAGGATAATAAACAGAGATAAAGCGTATAGTCATTACGTTACTCCGGTTTTATCCAGTCCCTCGGGCACAATAAAACGCTTAGTACATGTTGCGATGTTGACAATAGTAATAATACATCATGGTTTGTTTTTTTTTTCATTTACTATGGAAATACAAATAAATATAACCAATTATAACACTACAAATTTATATGAATAGGTAATGCGTAAACAAAGGAATGATTAAGAACGAATTATTAATACCCGTTCCGCACCTTTTAGTTTTATTTTAATATTTCTTTGCCTCTCCTTGAAAATACCAGCTAATTTCTAAGTTGAACTCCTCTTACTCCTCCTCTTTTTTCATCAGTAAAATCAAGTTTATCAATCAGACACTTGTACTACCAATAAAGTCTGTACAGGAGCCTACGTAAGGACCTAAAAACGGAGATCCATTTATTTTATATTATTTTAGGTTTAGTCTTATCAATGTGGTCCTAGCATTTCTGCGTATAATCTGTTTGGTGCAGGTTTTGGGGTCGACCATTTTACATACATTTTTACTTTTAATCAGTTATCTGTGCCTCCAGTTCATATAATAGCTCTAACCCTATTCCGACTTTCAGTATTTCTTGTTTTATTCCTTATAACTTTTAGATTTATTACTTATTTCTTCTAATTCTATTAGTATTTCTTTAAATCTTTTCCATCCTGTAGTACAGAGAGGAGACGTACTTCGGGCAATGCATATTGTTTTGACTAGAATCAGGAACAATGTAGTACTTTCCAACACTTGTAAGCTCCAAGACAAGTGAGCTAGAGCCGGCGAGGCCAAGTTACCAAACGCGTTTAACTGAAAATTAGTGCTTCCATGAATCTATTTGTTCTCTACTTTTAGGATGCAGAGTTTTTCTCCTTCATCAAATTTGTCAGATGTTAATAACTTCAAGATTGTATTTGTTCTGCAAGTCAGTATGACGTATGCAGTAGTCAGTATGAGTAAGACCGAACTTTCTATCCCACAGAAAATTGTTATTACATTATACTTATAGTACTAATAATTTTCTGTGGGATAAAAAGGTCGGTCTTACTGACTACTGTATACGCCATGCAGACTAGCGCCAAGGTATAAAAACTTTGCGTCTTAAAGAATTAAGACTCAGAGAAGCACTAATTTCCAGTTAAACGCGTTTGGTACCTTGGCCTGGCCGGCTCTCGCTCACTTGCCTTCGGGCTTGTGATGGAGAGTCAGACGCGCCCCAAGGACTACATTATTCCTCATTTTAATCAAAGCATTATTCATTACCCGAAGTACGTCTCCTCTTTTTACTATAAAGATTGAAAAGATTTAAAGGATGTCTCTATATATTTTTACTTTGGGCTGGAAGAACACAACATCGCAGCAGTGGCTTTTAAAATCCCACGGACGTCTTTAAGTAGTTGGCAGGATTACATGATAACATTTAATTCTACCTCTTATAACTTTCAGATTTATTAGTTCAGACTAAAAAATAAAAGTTTTCAGCTCACCTCGTTAATTTCATATTTATTAACACATCAGCTGAATTCAAATTAAATGTTTGTTCGTTGTTCTGTTACTCGTAAACATAATTAATTCTAAACAGTGTGCTACTTTGCCCAGAAAAAAATTCGGGCCCCGGAACATTTGAGTTACTGGAATCCTCAATCATATAATATGGACCAAGTTACCCTAATACTAATTATATCAAATATATACTAATTATATCATATATTATCCCAATCATATACGGACAATGTTACCCTAATACTAATTATATCAAATACATATATACTAATTATACGAACGTACTACCTTTACCACTCTTGATTCGGTGAGCTCAGAGCTGCATGATTCAACTGCTGGCCCAACCAAACAAACTGTCATATATACCTACAAATTGCAACCCTGGATTTAGGCTACACATGATTAAACATGGCATGGAATACGGCGTATCTACTTTTCTATTCTTGATTCGGTGAACTGCCATGATTCAACAACTGCACTGGCCTAACCAAGCGAATTATACCATATATTGTGATTATTCGACACGACCGTTTCTCTCACTCAGCAAAATTATAGTCTACCCTAAGTTATAGGTTGTCATGGTTCCAACACACCTGAGAAGTCTGCAAATACTTCACGCCTTTATTGTATTGAGCTCCAATGTTATTGTTATTGTCGCTCATGATTTGATGAAATGTTCGAATCAAATCACGTTTATTATGATTAAGCATTGAATGAAGGCCCTTCGGTTGGTTTAGCAGTAATCCAAAATCTCAATAATGGTGTCAAGATGCCCCATTTTTCCATTTATCGTACCAGAGCTAGAGTGTGCTTACTTTTTAGAACTGCCACTTATTTGTAAGTAACAAAGAAATTCACTTCATTGGAAGCTGTGCCTCCGACGTATCGGTGAAAAGATTCGTATTTCTGGTTGCACCCTCTTCCAATAGCCAAGTTTGAACCTTTGAAGGATCTCATGATTACAATTAAAATTATTCATTAAAATTGTTTTTGAAGGAAGCCCAAACTTTTGTTGAGGATATCCAAACGTCAATATAATCCATCAAAGTCACGTATGACGTATAACCTAAAAACACTGTACTTGATAAATAACCGACGTTTTCAAACCGTATTTGAGTTATAAACTATAATAGAATAATCACTTGGTCGCATTTTTTGGGAGTTTTTAATAGACTGCAATTTTCATGAAACCTGCAAGTTTAAATAGCATGTCAGCTGCAGTCACCAGCTCATAAGACTGGACCAAGTTGTCTGGCTACTTCAAATATATTATATACATGCTCAAAAGTAAGACCAGCTCAATTTGTGGTTAATAACAGAAACTGTCTAATGTAGATCCAGACGAGACTATGCTCCTCAACAACAACGAGGCAAAGCCCCCAGACTCACCTCCAAAGCAGGTGACAAGACTATTTAATGAGTCTCACTTAAAATTAGAGCGGTATTTTGAAAAAAATGAGTCCCAGACAATGTTGATTTAGCAAATTTATTGTGCAAGAAATGTTGAAAAAGTAAATCATTTTATAATAGTTTTAAAATAAGCTAGCTGTCTGTCATATCAGTGTTCAAATTAACGCCCTCGCGTGACTAGGAGTGATTAAGACTCCTCCGCAAGCTTTTGTAGACTTATCTTAAACCTTTCTCTCATAAACACGTGACCTTTCCCTCTTAGAGTTTCTTTGAGGACTTCAAGGAGTTCACAACGGAGACCACGTCACATGGGATAAAGTATGTCTTCCACGCTGCCTACCAGGTATGTCTCTGAGCTGTATTGAGGCTGTGATTACTGTGAGGTGTGATTACTGTGAGGTGTGAGGGTGCGGGGAGTTTGTCTCATCTATCTTGATCTGAGTACCTCACGTCTATGTGTACAATTGGGCTTATCTCGTCACAAAATGACGGCTGCTTACAACGAATTATCAATTTTGGCACAATGCCAGGATTTTTGGATTTAGGATAAATTGCAAGAATATGTCTAGGAGTTCAGAGAAATCGTGTCTTGAATCTTGATTAATGGTCGTGGAAAACTATACCAGCATTCCATTTATATTTCTGTACAGACTACAGAGTTTGAAAGCGAATGAACAAGAGCCAAAAATAAACCAACAGAATGAACATTGAACAAATGTGTTTCAGTTTGTGAGGTTTATTTACCTAGTGCTGTGGCTAACAGCAGTAGCTTACACAATGTACATCGTCTGTGTCAGCGTCACTAAATACCTCTCCATGGAAACGGGTACGTGCACATTATTATTGAGAATCAGTGACAAGATTTGACGCAGCTGTTCAATTTAGAAATAGAAATTGTACCTCTTTGCTCAATTTATTTAGGATATTTTAAACAGTAAGGAAGTTGGTTCAAAACCAATTGCGTCCCTATTTTAAACAGCACATAACACTCAGGTAAGCTGATTATCATCTCACACAGGAACGAAGATTGAAGAGATAATCACACCCAAACCAGAACATGGTAAAGAAGCAGCGATAACTCACCCCACCATCAACGTCTGCCCTAACAACATTGTTAGTACATTTGTTCCGATTATAAGAAATACAGGCTACGATGCGATTGGGTGCTTTAAAAGAGACGTTGCAATTTTCGACCTTATAACTACGACATTACGACAATTCCTTTCATTCCCAAAATTCGTATACCACGAATATAATATATATAATTGTGTACTGTTACTCTTAGGGCTTAATCTGATTCCACATAGAATCCATGATACACAAGTTTTCATTTTTACATTACAACTTAAATAAATATTACTCGCGATTATAATTTCTCGGTTTCGAATGAATCGTACGCTTTAAAATAAAATAAAATCATATTAAAACCATAACCGCAGGCCAGTAAAACTTACCTAAATAAGTTTCCAAAGCTGGAGGAACTTATGAAAGAGCTTCGAAGTTACGACGCAAATGTAACTCACAAATTGTTCGAAAACGAAGACTATAAACCGTAAGTATTATTTTACTTAAAGTTTACTAATTGATTTTGTACTAACTAATTAAGTTATTAATTAAGTTATTAATGAGAGATTATGCAGAGTATCCCTGTGATGATCGATATTTTTCTAAGATATTGAGAGACCTTATTTTCATCGTTTCGATTTTAATATCAATGACTTGTTCGGCACTAGAATATTTGTTATTTGCCTTACCATCTGGCTTTTTTTAGAGAAAAGCTGCAATATAATTCCATATTTCAGATATGCAGATATGACATATCATGATATCATGTGGAAAGGACGCCCACGAGTGGGACTGTTACAATGCACTCATTACACGTAAGAAATTAAATTTTGTAAACAACATTTTATTTTCTATTCAATTAAACGATTTTGTAAACTCTATAAACTCAGAATTCTACTGTTCTACAAAATTAACTAATTTAAAGTATTAAAATTAGAACAAAAATAAAATTATTGGCTAGATCCGGTTCATGAATCACACTTTATTTTCAGAGAGAAGTGTCAAATGGTAGAACCGTTTAGCAACCCAAACTTTACTTCAAGGAAACTGCATTGGGATGAGGAGTATGATGGAAGTGGTCACAATCATTATGAATGGGTAAGCACATGCGACTATGAAACATTTTGTCAGTTATCTTATGGATTCTGACCGATCTTTTCAATTGATTATTGCGAGTGAGAAATAGAAACAAATAGTATGAAACAGAGCTTCAAAAATTCGTTCCGCCGATGTTAGTGATAGCATAACCCATGCATCAATATAGTAATTCAGGATTATAAATCTAAATAAGTAAATTTAATTATGTCTTTATTTCTGTTGAAGAGGCAAGTCAGCACATAAGTTTTTTAGGATCAGTAACTTGTTTTGATCAATCAAAGAACTTCATCTATAAATAGATGCTGGTGGTAGGCTCAGGTGTCTTCCTGAGCAATGTCTTTATACATTTCAAGACAGCAGTTCTGCAGTCAGGCATGCGCCACAAGTACAATATAGGGTTTATAGCCGAGTTCAGAGCAGTGCTCAAAGTGTATATGTAGTTGAAAGTGTAGTAGTAGTACTCTGGATCGCTCATGTCAAAGTGAAATATTGCATCCTTGAAGAGTTGGCCTGACCGTGATTCTATGGATTGAACGACGAATAATACAACTAAGGGGAGATTAAAGAATCCGTAAACGAGTGAAAATATCAGAATAGTGATTGAAGCTTTGCGGCGGGAGTCCATCAAGCGTCTTGATGAGGCTGAGGAGCATTCCATGTTAGAGATCATCTGTTTGTTCAGCAAGTAGGTTGATATTGTTGAGCTTATAGTCACCACCACCAAAGGTAAACAGAAAGTCACGATCATTCCAATTTCTAGTAAAATCCATATCATATTTGTATCATCCGATGTGTTAAGCAGATCGTAGTCAACCATTACAGAACAAGTTCCAATAACCGCATTATAGCCCAATCTGAAACCCGGCTGAAGATTGATACCAACAAGTTGGAGCACAGTGAAGATGAAATAAACCAGCACCACAGCCAACACCAGTCCAGTCGTCTGGGGGTAGAAGGGACGGAGGAGGGACCAGGTTCTGGAAGAGCACAACACCACCACCAGGAACACACTCAGTCTGCAATTAGAGTTCCAGATGTACGACCAGGACCAACACGACCAGTTTGTAACAAATAGGAGTCCTGGAGAGCGGTGGTTGAGGTAAGCTAACCCCACTGGTAGCACACTGACACAGATCACTATATCGTTAACAGTGATCAGCTGGTAGATCCAGTTTGAAACGTCGCGCTTCCTGGATCTGAAGAAGAAGAAGCAGGAGATGTTTCCTAGGCTACCTACTAGGAAACACACGAGAAACAATACTCCGTAGAGACTGTCAAGTGATGAGTTGTATGTAGGAATGAAGATGGTTGTTGTACTAGAAGAGCTTTCAACGTTATCTTCCATTGCGCTTCCCTAAGAAATAATCAAATTGTATTCTGATTGTTTGAAGATTGGCTCGGTGCGTGAAAATATCTCTTAAAAACGATATAACTGCAAGCGTGATGTGGGATATACTAGGTCTCAGAATCTCGATACGACTGCCATCCACAAACTATTTCATTTAAATATTTACATCTAGTTTACAATTTTGGACATTACCCTGAAAGGTGGTAAAATAAAAAATAAAACAAAGAAGCTAGATAGAAAAGAACACAGCAGAAGATAAAACAATGCCCCTAGTCACAAGTGTCATTTTAATTTTACTAAACTACAACAGTCATCCCAATGATAACGGGTTTAAAGTCACGTTACATGTGTGGCAGGTGGTATAGAAAGGAGTTTATCTAATTTAAACCACAACATTTGTATTCAATAGTGTTGTTTGACGTCATAGAGTAAGAGAAATGAAGGAGGTTCCAAACACAGATGGTTAAAAGATTTTTATCACGAGGGCGACCAGATGAATTAATGAATGAAATTATAGTTAGATTTTAAAAATCATGAAGTAAAAATCACGAGTATAACGTGTTTTTTAAGTGCCCCAACAAATGATGAAAATTTCGGAACAGAGATTATCGGAAAGTTACAATATTTTCTTAAAAAGAAAAATAAGATGTTCATTAAATGCAATCAGAAATAACAAAAAAGTTTTGCATTTCTTTTCATTTACGTCTACCTGATCATATGAGGCCTCTAGTAGCTTGGTACTTTGGTATGAGCTTTGAGTTGCCTGATATGTGTACAGGTAATCCAAAACTATATCGAAACTGTCAAATTTAGTATAGCGTTCTTCCGTCTCTTGGAGGGGTGAGTCCAACAGCGAGACGATCGATCCTTTCTCCGGCAATATAGAAATGTGTCCTTCCAGAGGGGGTTGAATTACTCTCTGCCCGTTGATGTACTTTCTAAGGACGACCATGATTCCATACTCTGATCACCACTATACCTGTCTTACTTACCGTATTGTTCGAATCATCTGAGCTGTACAATAAGCATACTAAGGTGCATTTCGAGCACGGGATTAATGATCTAAGGATTTGTCTTTTCTTCAGTGTCCTGCGATCAGTAAGTTGGTCATTAAGTTTATGTACGTTCATCACTTAGTCAGTAGATTCCCCAGATATCACGCAGATCTGCAGGTCACGTGTTCACTTAGCAGATATAGCACTGAGATTAGTGTCCCCAGTAGCCGTCTTGCTCGATGTCTTCTTCCATATTCTCAGGTTCCCTAAGAAGCAAGGTACTACACTGCTTGCTACCAGATTGATTGCGGAGTAAGAATATGTACCGGTTCCCTGAGTGTAGTAGCGAGTTACGGAAGGGAACGCTACCCCGCAAACGAAGACCAGGTAGATGAAACTATACGAGTTTCCTAGGAGAATCTTCAGGGTAATCTTCGTGTAATTTCTCTTGGACTGTGTTCCTGTGTTCACTTTTTTGTTACCCATTAGCGTTACTATGGTCAAAACGCAGGCTATAAGTCCCACAAATTGGTAGAGTATCGGCATCGCATACAGAATCACAGACACGGTTACTTTGGGCCAGTTTGGATACCCAAAAGGTGAGAATAACGTGTTGAGTTGACCCGATCCAAACGACCATTGAAGGAACTGTCGTAGAACTAGGTCGTGCGGAGTTTAAGATAACAACAGTCAGGATTATCTGCAGCACAATTCAAATCAAATGTGTTTTAGCGGGTATCTGATCTGAATCAGCCTGACAACAGTTAGAGCCGCCCATAATGGCATAATATAGCCGGTAGAACTATCAGAATCGCAGCTACGTTGCCGTATATTCGTAGTGAGAGGGTTGGATTATTGACAAAGCAGGCTTGGAATGATTCCGCCGCAGTAAGGGTTCCCTTATTTACATTCTTACCTTTATCAAAGTTACTTTCGTCAAAGTCACCCTTACCAGTATCACCTTTAGTAGAGCCATCTTTTTTACTATCACCTTTATCAGTACAGCTGTCCTCGTGTTTACCATGACCTCCATTGAAAATGTCCCCACTGTTAGCGTTATGTGCGACAAATGGTGCTATCAGGAGACACATCACCCAGTCAACAGTAGCTAGGATCCTGAACATAACCCTCTGAATATTGTGGGGTTTTGTAAAGTTGTGGTGGAGGACTAGTAGTTCCTCCAGAACTGGTTCCTCCAGTACTCAAGATCACCATTTTAGCTGGTAGTGGTGAGTAGGTTAACCACCACACATTTACATTAAATTACTGCTTAATGTTAATGTGAGTAAGAGTTAGAATTTAAAATCTTCAAATAAAAATAGGGATAAATTAAGCGAGTTTAGTACACAATGAATTGTTACGAACGAAAAATCTGAATCTTGAGACTATTAGGTTCTATGAGCAAAACGTGAACCATTGTAGACGCTCATACCGTTTTTGTACTGACAACTTACACCAGGAAATATAAACTACTAGTATAAGTGTTACACTGTCAGTGATACTAAAATTACTTTTCAATACACTTACAGTTCATTACACTAACATGGCACTGGTTACAGGAAGTGTCGCTAAGTGGTTCCTGCTACAGAATCAACCCTCGGGGAGACTTGTGGACGAAAGTGGGAGAGTATGGCGAGATAACGCTCACCTTCTTCGCGGATCTCAACGACTACAGGTAAATAACGAGGTCTGATCGTCCTTCTTACAGCGTTCGATGTCTGTGTGAAGGTAAAATGGTGACATCCTCTGGATCAGGCAGAGGTCGAGTGTTATATCGGGATAACTTCTGTAGTAGTTGTACAGCAATACTAAGGACTAAGGTAATGCATTGCCTGTACAACTACTACATTGCTGTACAACTACTACAGACTACAGGTAAAAACTAAAAAGATAACATAACTTTAATTTGTCGTGATAACGATAACAGGCAACAAATTAAGAAAACTCCATGAATCTGTCGTGATAACAACTAAAGGTGTAAAGGTAACAAAGCAGCTAAATAGTAGCAGCTGTGACGGGACCTATTTCTGATTGTTATAAAACCTAGCTAATATAAATATAACGGACATTGTTATCAGGACTGCCACGTCTGGGGACAATATAATAGGCAGCTTATCTATTTTGTCAGCTTACCATTACCGGCAAGATTGTGATATATTGAGAGCTAAACTGATAGCTGGAAGTGGAACTTGGTAGGTTCATTGTGACACTGACACTGTGACTAATGACTGGTGACTGTACTAATAGGATCTGCAGTGCTAATAGGGTTCCACACCTGCTGAACATCGTGTTTGAGTTTCTTTGTGGGGGAAATTTGTCCGTGGTAAACGCTGCCCAAATTAGTCTCGTTTAACAGCATCATTATTAATGTAGACACACTATATTTAAACTCTCTGAAAGTTGGGAATATGTTCCAGTAATTACTAATCATGTAACAGCAATCTTCAGCACTGTTCTTGTACAAAATCAACAGACTCGACAACAGCTCATGTGAAAAAACGATATGCTGTTTGTTTCGAAAAAGTCGCTTGGATAAATTGGCGAATTTTAACGTTTGCATATTGTAGCAAACTCAAGTACTACTACTCCAATGACATAAGCTATACGTTTATCATGAAAATTAAAAATATATATATTATAAATATGAAAATTTATTATAAACTTCCCCCACAGTTCGTTTGCGAAGCTGCAACCAGAGTACGGATACACAGTGACGTTCACAGATAACGGTACATATTCCTCCACCATGACATCTGGGTTCTTCATGTCCCCAGGCAATGTCTACAAGTCTGATCTGAGGAAATACCGGGTTAGTGGTGCTTACTATACCCTACAAATGTTTATTACTTCCTAAAAATGTTTATAATTATTATTTCCTAAAAATTGCTTATTATTTCCTAAAAGTAAATCAAATATTTATAACAGACATCTCAATTATAGTGGGAGTTTAGTAAATTGTGTTGAACTATTTCCTTCCAGGAACAAAACATTGGCCCCCCAGCTGGAAGTTGTAACCCACACATGAAAACTAATGCTTACGGGACCTACTCAACTAACAGGTACTGATACTTACAGTCGACGTGCGTTTTTAAATTAATTGCACACCTCTAGTTTTAGCTGAAGTTAGCGAAAGAGTTGAGAATTAACGTTTTTGTGATAATTATTCATTTAGACATCTTTGCTTTTAAAGTGAATACAGTCATTGAAATGACGTGTGTTTTAATGCAAATAACTAGGACACAACCAATCTTCCACCTCACAAAATCAAATATCTATTTCAACTATAATACACAATCAAATAACCTGATTAATTAATCAATTACGTGGAATAAACAAATTAAAATTAATAACCAACAATTAATAAGCAAACCACATAATCTTACACAGTTGCAACAAGCTGTGTCGGGATGATCACGTAATGAAGAAATGTGGGTGTGTCCACATCCTGCCACCTCATCCCGAGTATGAAGCAGACAAGGAGTTTGTGGGATGTACTCTTAAAGTGTGGGCCGAGTGTGCCCTCGCCGCAACTGTTGAGTTTAGTAAGTACTAAGCTTGTGGGTGCACTTTATTAATGCAAATTTTAAATAGATCAAACATTTTCTCTACTCCCGAACGGTGTACCCCGACCATTTAATGTTTGCCAAGTTATCAACACTCTTACAAACGTGAAGCGATTCATATTGACCCCTTACCCAAATATCAGTGACACTTTGCACTCCGTGGTAGGGTAGCGCTAAGATTCGAACCCAATATCTCACGGTCAAGTGTTAAAAAATTTATACCGCCAACCCGACAACATAACATTTCGCTTTGTACTTTTGTAGTCTATTATATCAAAGTTTGTGAATTTTGATAATTCTCTCAGCGGACCAGTTCGTGAACATGGACGATGGGATAAAGCATTGTGAGCACTGCGAGCCGGCGTGTGAGGAGATTTGGTACGAGGCTACCATAAGCAGTTCACGGCTCAGGTTAGGGCGGCCGTTAAATTGAACGGAACAGAAAAATGTGATAAAATCAAATTATACTTCGATCGACTATATCTTATAACTTATACCCAAAGCGATAGTTTAAATTTAATTTAGCCTTGTCAAATAGACTTAACAATATCTTTAAGTTTAAATGTTATTCTTTGCTATAACCTAATCATAACATAAACATTTCTGCAGTAAATTTTACGCAAAAGAAAAGCTCGGTCAGTTAAATATGTTAGTAAACGGTAATAATCTGAATAACCCGAACGACACGGTGGAGGATTACAACGTAGAAACAGAGGAAACAGTATATGAGAACTTGATGGTCCTTAAAGTTTTGTTTACTAGCATTCAGGTACATCTATTTGTATGGGCGTTTTTATTACTCAACTCTCACTGGGTTCATTGGAAACGTGAAGTTAGCCGATTGTATAATAAGATAATAGTTGATAACCGGTTGAAAGCTATATTTCTGGATATCAAATTAACCGTAATGGTCTCTTATTTTGGTAGGAATCAAACATCAAGGAATACAGAAAGTACGACTATACTCAACTCATAGGTGAGGGTCTTTAGTTTTATTTTTAAGTAAATAACCAGTTTCTAACTTTGTTCCCCACGACACGTATAATACAGCGCTTACATTCAATTTAACGATTTAATTTATAAGTTAATGTTTATGTCTTTGACAATGATCTGAGATTTCAATCATTTAATAAATAGATGAGGATTCTCATGGCGGGCATGTGAAGCATATTTTTTGACACGTGACAGTGATTCTGGGGTTTGATTGGTCAATAGTGGGAGCTGATTTGTTAATTGCCGTCACGTCTCAAAAAAATATGCCTTACCTCCCCAGTCCCCACTAGAATCCACATATATTACACCATCACACATATACATTATACAAGCCACTCTTATCTAAATAAACCAAACCACGTGCTTGTCAGGCGATGTCGGAGGGCAGATGGGTATGCTACTTGGGGCTTCTCTCTTCACGGTAATAGAGTTCATCCACTTCTTCATAAAGGCTATATGGAGGTGCATGTGCAGGAACAAGTACAATAGTCCTCCCTCTCCTCCCTTCCAACGGCACATGGACATGGACAGCCTCGGTTAATTAACCAACCTCGCACTTTTTTAATCGGTTTGATTTTGGAGTTATGAAGAAGAGTGGAAGGTTGAGGGGACAGTTACTTAAATAATTGTGATAAAACTGATGGGTATAAGTGATTCACCGAAAGTGACTCTTTAGGAGGTAAAATGGACTCAATATAGCTGGTATTAGGTGTTTTTTTCCGATAATCATCGACTTTTGTATTTTATAACCATGTTTTATACGTTTATTTCAAATCTACAACTTTAGAAAGGAGATAACTGCCGCTTACAAGAACTAAAGCACTATTATAAAGCGTTTATCACGTGATTTGATAGGCATTTTATTAAATAATAAGTAGAACTTGGTACTGATGAGGAGGTGAACTATATTTGTATTGACACACGAGGGTGGTTATGAGTTTGAGTGGTCGATACTGGAAGCTGAATGGCTAATAAGTCACAGTGTAATATGTGTCGCGTGTCAGAAACAACATAGTACCCCTCCCCATCGGATTTGTGGTTGAGCTACTAAATAATCAAAAAGATCCCAGCGCAAGCTTAAGATTCAGCTAGAAGAGAATATGTTTATTTTATTCATGATTTAATTATATGTGGAAATGTAATGTTATAGCTAATTTAATTTTGATATTACAATCACATTCATTTATTAGCAGTAAATGAACCGATTTACCAAATTTGAATTTTTCATTGCCAAGAATTATTTAAATTCGCAAAACCTCACTAATTTAAATCGAATGCAATGTATGATCCGATGCGTGGAATTGGAATTAAACTCCCAGTGCAGAGAACCCGTCTATCCCTTGCCAGATAACAATGTAACTATTAATCAACACCTATCAGTTACAAGTAACTAGTATTAATATTCATAAATTGTCCGTTATTCAATATTATTTTTATACACTATTTTGTATAGCACTATGTACTTAGCAGTGGAGATATAAAACGAAAAGAAGTCATCAGAAAGCAAATGTGTATTGAGTTTAGGTGATTTCTTGTTAGCTGTACAATTCGCTAAATTTGCTCCAGCCTTTGTATATACTCTCAGGTTTCATTATTCAACAGCGTAGTATATAACGTTGCCTTATAGTGTTGTGTTTAATTGTATAACTAACTTGCAAGGTGTGTTACACTGAGTTTTTTACAATTCAAGTTGTTGTATTTTATAATTATCCTCATAGAAGGTTTTACAACTAAATGGACAGGATGGCTGGTGATTAGCATAATTAAAGTAAAGTATTCAATGATGTAGTAGAAGTATTGAATATTCAAATTATCAAAACTACAATAACTTTACTATATAATTAGAATCCAACACTTTGTGTTATAACACAATTTTACACAGATCGTCACACAGATTGTAATTAGATCACTCTATTCGCGTTAGTCGCTTATAGTTATATGAATATAATAGACTGCTATCTTTTGTTACTTTTGTTTTTGTCATCGATAGTATGTTTATTTTTTCGCTCTCTTCAGTGGGTTGATCACGATTAATTACCGGGGACGAAAAGAGAGTCTCCAACCACTGTACAACAAAATACATCATGTATTCTGTTAATCAACGGACTACTTTGTGCTTCCTTGTCTATACTACCGTGCACCTAATGTATTTATAGGTTAATATGTTAATTTCATATTCCGTAATCTTAGTAAAACGCTAACGAGTCCCGAAACGTCATTTTCATATACCTTGTCGGACTTTATTTGAACGGACATTAATTGGAGTTGGACGCTGGAGGCCCTACTCCCTAGTGTTCATTTTAATGTCCGTTTAAATAAAGTCCGATAAGGTAAATAAATTAAATACTGATCAAAATTATGTCCGTTCATGCAGTTTCCGGTCAACTTACGCCGGATAAGGTAGTTTTACCAGTTATTCTCACTGTTTTCCTTTGTCTGTCGATAGCCGTAAATATACTTGGACAGTGTCGGCTATTGCCCAAATTAGAGGTACATATTTCCAGGACTACTATAACCTCTCTGTCAATGACATATTCGACAACCAACACATCACCACGATTGTCAATTTCGCAAACCGCACCAAACGCTTAATTGTGCCGGAAGAGCTGGATCAGACCGGGGTGACTTAAAGTATTATCTCATATGCTGTCTCGTCTCGTTTTACTTTTCCAAACCCAGCTGGCATTTAAGCGTATCATTTTGACTCATATCACTTCTTAATACACCATCCTCCACCATTCACTCTGATTTCACCGGCAACCTTCCCCAGGGTTGCCACACCCCAGAGGTAGGCAGAGCATCTCAATGCTATCCTCTCGTGGGCTATCTTGGCCAAGCTTCTCTTCTTTTTTAAAGCCGTGAATATGCTTCCTGACACGTAATGTGAATTATAAATCAAGAGGCTTGCATATAATGAACATATTGACATGGGTGCAGAGTTGAGTCTGTACGGAACCTATAGCGTTCAGTGTTCTGCTCAAGGCTGGGTGTAACTGTAATCCAATAACAATACAATGACACATTCTTCCTTAGAAACACGGACAATAGAACCCGCTGACAATACCAGCTAATTGTTTAATACTTTTCTAACCGGTTCAATGAATTATTCCACCGAGTCATTCGTCAATAACGTATAGAAAAGACAATTTTGAGAAAAGAAATAACAATATGACAACGATAACATAACAATAAGACACTTGCAGTGGCACATGCAGTAAACACTATACATCTTAATAAGGCTCCAATAGTTGGATTCAAGCTGCCAAGCACAGTTTTCATTCCAAGAAAAGCTTCATTTTGACTAGTAATATAAGTAATTTAATATTACCCGATATTTTGACCACAAATTATATTTATTATCAAAACTTTTTGTATAAAAATGTAACAAATAGAGTTAATAATGCAAATCCGATCATGCCATGACTTGAATCACAAATTAACCATATAGATATGTGTCGATCTTTTCTATGCCCGAACAAAAGTTTAATTTCTTTACACAATTTACATCCATTGTTTTTTTGGTTAAAGTTAAACTCGCAGTTGCATCCATCATACGTTGTTTTGTTTGGTTAATCTCGCCTTTGAAATCTTTTGAAGTTGTAAAAAATCGAATAAATTCATCTACCTGCACTATATTATTGCTTACATGACCTCAACATTAACACTCCACTATCAGAAGCAATGGTGATCCTATAAATATTGTCAACCCAGGAAATGCCGAACTCAACAAACTATCACGTCTACGGAGCTTGTGTGTACTCCAATGTAACACTGCACGGGGTAGACAGTGCAGGAGCTAGCTACACGTGGGCCGTGTGGAATGCACTTGTATTACTAACCTCACTATTTGGAGATACCACTATCCTGATCGCATCTATAGGATACAACGCTATACAAGTCCATGCTGGTTTGATACCATTCATCCAACATCTAGCAATCACTGATCTCATCCTAGCTGTCTTTTACTTGCTTCCTGGATTCGTCTCAGTGGCTTTTAACGGCTGGGTCCTTGGACAAGCCTTCTGTGCCTGTACAGCTTATCTGTCTTACTACGCATTTTCACTGAGCTTCTTCTTAATAGCAGGCATGACTAGTGGTAAGCTGCTAATGGTATTTGTCCGATGAGGGCAAGGGTTTGGACATCAGGCAGGTCTCAGGTGATTTGCACCGTGATGTGGGTTTTCTGTCTTGGTCTACCTTTAACTCAGTCTCTGGTGGATAAGACTGATGTTTGCTTTGACTCAAGAAAGTACAATTGCACTTACGGATACACAGCTAATATTTGGGGTTGGCTTAAACCTGCCCTTTTCTGTGTCATGGCACTTCTTCCTGGCATGACAATCTTCGTTACTTCAGTTCTGCTGCTGAAGAAGGCTAGGTCAGTGGTCCGAGAGGGATTGCGATTGGCTGGCATGCTGACAGTTTTAGTTACATCAGGAGTTTACATTTTCTCTATCCTGCCTTTCGTAGCGTACAGTATTGTTGAGCCTTTCCTGGAGAAAGACCCGACAAAAGTTGGTCAGTTTCAGTTGAAGTACTACAGTGTAGCTTGTGCTTTTCTGAATTTCCATATCATGTCCAACTTCTTTATCTACTATTTTACTGTTTCAAAGTTCCGGAAATTTGTCAGAGGGATTGTTTGCAGAGGTGCATCTGATGGTGAGTAATTTTTTCATTATATTGAATGGTCTTTATTAGTCAGTAAACCATGATAGTGACCTTTCAGTTTCAATCTATCAGCTTTTATATTAGCTAAACAGTAAACATACATTTGAGTTGGTAACTATGATACAATCAACTTGTGGTAATATATTAAATCAATCAGGCCAGACATCAGTTATGGGGACTCGTACAACAGTTTCAACAGTTTCCCGGCCAAGTGAATATTGAGAGGCCCGCGGATTTACTTACTTTTACTTTGGTGTGCTTCATAGAATCCTCTATCGGGTCATCAGAGTTGCTGACCACCGCACCCGGACAGAGTTACTGACCACCGCACCCGGACAGCGAGGTCGCTGCCTTTATTCCATTCAAATCCAATAACGAGTTTCCATTTCGACAGCTGTATCCTGCCAATGGAGGCTCATCCGGGAATGATTTCACAAACGTTACATAAGCATTTCTTTAAAGTGCAGGGGATCTTCGATAGTATGCATGTTTGGTATCGAGGTCCAATAACTGCAAACGAATTGTCGTAAAGTGTTTGGTTGTGCTGACTGCTCGATTTATTCAGAGTGGGAATAACTGCCTTTTGGCCATGTCGGAGTGTCGCGGAGAACTGGATGTTGACATCATTTGGGCACTTGCTGTGCAGCACTTTCCGTATTGTGGATAATGGTATATCTTTCTCTCCTCCGTTGCAATGACTTCAAATTTAAGGCCTTGAGTCTCTGCCAGTAGTTTGATGCTGCAGGCCATCTATTCTCGTTGTGAACATGCACTGAACCCCTTCTAGTTGTTGGACGTGTGCACTCTTGGAAATATTCCATAAGGGGCAACAGTACTCGAGGTGGCTTCTGATGAGAGATTCGTAAAGGGTCAGCATGGTGACTTTGTTCCTCGTTTTAAACGCACTCAGAACCAGGCAGCAACTCTACGAGCACGTTAAGCTATAAGGGTAACATGGGGACTCCAGGATAAGTCAGCTGAAACCATCACCCCTAAATATTTAAACACTTTGGAGGGGTATAACATGTGGAAATGGGCTAGATATAGGGTAGAGTTCACATGTCAACTCTGTAGCTTTTTATTGTAGTACTTTTGATTTAAATTAACAAGTCAATACACATTTTTTCGTAGGATAGCCCAAATTGATTGGGTCTGAGGTCACGTGATTATGACGTCACCAGAGCTTGTTCTCTGTTTCCCGTCCAGGTGAGCTCGCATGCTTGTGAATGTGGATGTAAGTGTATTATACTGTATAGTGTATGTCTAATTACCCCCTATGGAAGCCCAGATTTATTTTCTGACAGAAAGCTAGAAATTTACCAACATATCGACCTTGTTATAAATTCATTTTGATCTAAAATTGCACGAGAAATCGATTAAACTTTGTTTCAGAACTCAATAATGATCCCTTATACCTTCAATTCCATGTTTTACCAATACAATCAATATGTTGATCCTGTTAATCAATTAGTAACAGGTAACAAATACGCAAAAACAACCATCAC